GATGGTTACTGTGGCCTCCAAGTGGGTCATGAAAGCAAGAACCATCCCAAACAATGAGCTGCAGTTAAAGTTGAAAACTGCTGCCTAAGCTAACACCTTACAACTAACTGGGCCAATAAACAACATCGTAGTGAGAGAAGAAAATAGTGAAGCTGTCAAAGATTTCACTTCATTGGATGCACAATCAATGCCCATGGAAGCAGCAGTCAAGAAATCAAATGACGTATTACATTAGGCAAATCTGCTGCAAAAGACTGCCTTAAAGTGTTAAAAGAGTAAAGCTGTCTGCAGTTTGAGAGCCAAGGTGCACCTGACCCAAGCCATGGTATTTTCAATCACCGCATATGCATGTGAAAGTTGGACAGTGAATAAGGAAAACCGAGAATAAGTGATGCATTTGGATTATGGTGTTGCTGAAGAATATTGAAAGTATGATGGACAACCAGAAGAACAAACAAACAAATCTGTCTTGGAAGAAGTACAGCCGGAAGGCTCGTTGGTGAGGATGGTGAGACTTCAGACATGTTGTCAGGAAGGACCACTCCCTGCAGAAGGACATCATGCTTAGTTAAATGGAGGGTCAGGAAAAAAGGAGAAGACCCTCCTGAGGAAAAGCATTGACACAGTGGCTGCAACAAAGGGCTCGACATAACAATTGTGAGGAAGCCACAGGAGGGGTAGGGTTTCATTCTGTGGTAGTTAGGGTCTCTCGGAGTGAAAACCAACTAGAGAGCACCTAACAACAATAATGTAAAAACTCTGACCCTACTTCAACTGGGGAGTCACCTGTTGCTCTCAACAAAGACTTTTACCTCTATTTGTATTGCTCAAGTAATTTTCCCTTGATGGCCAATTCCATATGCTATTTAGTGAGTAAGAAGATGTTAAGCAAGTATATTCTGTTTATTTAAAATGCTAACCTGCAGCAAAAAAGTATAGAATTGTTAGTTGTACAAATTTTATCAAGATATATAAAGCATGTAAAGAAACTGATTTCTAATGCTCATTTACCTACAGAAACACTAACAGGACAAAATTGCAAGTAATTCCCTTAAGTTAAAAGAAAACGTCCAATGTCTTCAATGCTGCCACTTGACAAGAATACATGTTCATAGTGCTAATATTTGATATAGATACAAGGAGATTTCAAAGCGTTTGTATGAAAAAGCGGGGTGGGGGTGGGGTGAAAAGAGAGAGGCAGCGACACCAGAGATGGAGGCAGAGATGAGGACATGGAGAGAGAACAGCTGAGGACTCTAAACTCATGGAAAGAGAAAGGCTGTATGCTGGTGGCCAGGAGGCAAGCTTGTAGAATGTACCCTTTTGTTGTTTAAATAATTACATATTCCTGTGTGTTTTTTTGTATTATCCCCCAAAAAACAACAACAACAACAAACAAACAAAGGAAATAGAAGCAAACACTGTTGAACAATGATGCACAGAGGAGACTGTAATCGTTGCAATTAAATGATGGTGTAAAACCAATGTTCTCTCATGTAAACTATCATTCAATTCACAATAAAAACTTTAAAAAAGAAAAAACCAATAATGGAATGTTTCCACAAACTTTCTGAAGCTCCCGCTTTGAGTAGTCAGTCATCTGTAGGGTATGATATCAACAAATAACCTTGAAACTAACTAACGAAAAGTGATTTTAACTATAACACACAAAAAAGAACAACAATCAGAGGGAATGAATGAGTTAAGCTATGTGACCGTTAATCTGATGTTGTTAAGTGCTATCAAGTCATTACCAACTCAGAGAGTGACACCATATAGGGTTTCCGAGGTGACAATTGAGTAGTTCCTGAATCTAGCATGGAGCTGCGCAGCAAACTCCCCTGAGGCCTTCTGAAGTAATGCAGAGCCTGAGTCCCCCATCCGAATCTACCACAGTAGGTGAACCCACAGCGAACGAGAGACCAGGTACTTTAAAAGCTTCCACGGATAGTTTTAAGTGTAGCCTATTTGGAGGAAACACACACACAGGAGAGTCTGAGAATGGCTTCTGAGCACATGCTCTCACCTCTCCACTCTCCCACAATCTCTATGAAATGACTGGACATGAAAGTATGGAAATCCCCACAGCTGTACTGGGAAACCAGGGAAAGGTGGATTGGCAGATGGGAACAGTAAGGAACTGGGCGACAATACAAAGCAGATGGAATTAGTAAAACCCAAAATCGCTGAAAAATCTGAACTGAGCAGGGTCATTCATTATAAGTAAGTGCTGCCAGTAGCTTTTTCAGAGTATTTCCTAGGTCAGAGCAGTGAGTATTGGGAGCAGATGTGGGTCACTCAAGGTAATTGTTGAAAGGTCTGGTAACAATTTACCAGACTCTCTCACAGTAGCTAACTTCCAAATTGATCTTAGGATGAAAATGATAAAAGAAAGGAGGTGCTCTAGGTAAGCTCTGGTGGCCAAAATATGAACAAGGAACCTCAGTTCCAAAGGAAAGTTGCTTGAGTACAAATCAAACTCATTGTCATTGAGTTGACTCTGTCTCATAGCAACCCTACAGGACACAGTGGAACTGCCCCATAGGGTTTCCAAGGCTGTAAATCTTTACAGAAGCAGACCATGACATTGCAGCTTGTGAGCAGGAACCGCTGACCTTTCAGTTAGTAGCCAAGTGTTTAACCCCTGCACTACCAGGACACCTTTTCTTGAGTAAACTCAACTGGGTTGAGCCCATTTCTGCTTCATGTCCCCATCCTCTGCAGACAAAGATTCTGTACTCGGAATGTGCATTCATGAGATATTCTCTCTCTCATCTCTTAGAGCACATGCATCCGCAGGAACAAGGTAGAAAACAGACTTAGCCTCAAAAGCAGATCAATTGGAAGCAGCAGAGGAAGCTATGGAGCCGAAGAGAATGGGAACCTCCAGATACCTGACTCACTTTTATTTCAATCTCATGAGAAGTTAAGCTTTTAAAAGGAAGTTATAGATAGTAATTCCATTCATCATATTTTTATTTTGCTGGGTGTGAAACTCCTTTTCAAGTTGTAAAGAAAATTTCCTGAAAAAAATATAAGCAGCCAAAGCCAACACCCCTATGGACTCAGGAGTTCAGAAACTCAGGTCTCCTGTGTGCTTGAGAACATCATAACCCTAGACTGGCAGTCCTGGGCTATGGACAAGGCCAGACTACTTACAGCCCTTAGAGTTACTCACCTACCCCAGTAAACTCTATTGTGTTGAAAATTCAAGTTACATTTAATGGTTCACAATAACAAGCTGACGCTTCTCTGAGATGTGTATCAAGACATTACTATTATTGCTGTTGCTGTTGTTATGTGCCATGGAGTCAGTTCCGACTCAAAATGACCCTGTACATGGTTTCTGAGCTGTAAATCTTTACTGGAGCAGAAAGACTCATCTATCTCCCGCAGAACAGCTGGTAGTTTCAAACTGCTGACCATGAGATTACCAGCTCAATTTGTAACCACTTTGCTACCAGAGCTCCTTTTACTATTACTGTTGTTGTTGTGAAGTGCCATTGAGTCGGTTCCAACCCATAGCGACCCTGTATAGGGTTTCCGAGAAGCTGTTGGTGAGCTCGAACCGCTGATCTTGCAGTTCAAACGACTTTGCAGTCTGGTGCATTAACCTACAGCGCCACACCAGGATTAGTACTGCATTATTATGTTAAAGATGTTTTAGTGTATCTTGAAGTGTTTCTTTAATGTCTTCGATGCATAGAAAGGTACACTATATTCTATATACTAAGACAAATATTTGACTGACTTTAGATACAAACTGTACTTGTCCTGACTTATGTATATTTTTGACTTAACGACAGATGTTAGGAATGGAACTCATTCATTATCCAGGATTGCTTGTATACCTTAATCTACATAGCATTCTAAATTCTTCCCTATAAACAAGATGAGAAATAAAATGAATCATGGCTTCCACCATAAAAATGAGCATTTCATATATTGTGAGATATGTTAATGATTACTAATAGTCTTTAAGCAGAAATTCCTAAAGAAAACTTAGTGTCTCTGGACTACTAACCACAAGTTGGCAATTCAAATCCTCAGTAACCCTATACAGGGTTGCTATGAGTCAGAGCAGACTCGACCATACAATACTATAAGGAGATGGGGGTTAATACTTAAGTCTGATGGAGACAGGGAAAGATGCAGACAGAAAGTCACGCAAAAACGAAACTGATTTTTAATCATCAGAAACAGACCTGAAGCTCAGGAAGAGATAATGTTGTAAACTCTTCTGGTATTCTTAACTTCTTTCTTATCCTTTTATAAAAAGCCAGTTCAAAGAACGGCTTTGAAGTGAAAGCCAGAATTGAGAAGTAGTCAGAAAGCCTCCTAACAACTAATGGGCTGGGGGAGGGGAGGAAATGAATGAGAGAAAGAGTCCGGCTCCTTTTGCATTGAAAAGTCTAACTGTCTGACTCAGATTCAGTTCTGAAACATTGCACATTGCCACGGAATGGACCATCTCCACAACATCAAGGATGATATGCTGCAAATCCGAGAAGCAAAATATCTAGCTCTCTGTCATCGATCAGTTCCTAGCAGCATTAATTCCAAGCAAGGATACTAAATTAGGGTGCGGTTAGGGCCTAATTAGCTAGTGGCACAGTGACAACTATGGCCTTCTGCATCAAAACTGCTTAGTAGCTGTACACATTTTCAGATGATAATTAATGAAAGAAACTCTAATTCAACTGCCTGGTGCAGTGAAATGTCAAACAAAGGGCAGCAAAATATATGGGGAAATGTCCATGTACACACATTTTACAAAGGAGCAACTCTAGAGGATAATGAAGTAAAAAGCATACGCTAGGCTGATTTCATCATTCTAGCATCAGAGCTTTGATTTCCAGAAGGAACTTTGTCATAAGACCATCCTATCATTTTCCAATTTAAAATCCTACATGTCAATAAAAGTCTCCAAGGATTTACAACCTCAATTTAGATCACTAGACCCCACACTAACAGATGGCAAGTCAGCAGTTTCCACTTACCTAGAGATATTGTTAAAGCTGAGGAAAAGACGTTGGAGGCAGGGCAAATTATCCACATCTCTCTAGAAGGAAACAGAAAGCAAAACTGTATCAGCTGAAAGGAAAAAAAAAAGTAAAGTATCTTCACGCTCAGCTGTAGAAATATACAGTCATTTCTAGTTCCTGAAACCTTGCTACACCGTTGCCTTCTGCCGGCCGTGGAGCTCCAGTCTTCTCCACTGCAGACTAAATGGGAGGGCTTCAGTACATCTGCAGAACACACTGCCCTGCTCCCAAGGTAAAAGGCACTGAAAACAGGGAGAGATGCTGCTGCAAGCTTCTTTCAGCTTGCTGTTGGGAAAGACGCCAAGCCAAGACTGCTACTTCAGTATTTCCACAGTAGCACAAATTCAGTATGATCAAACACTTTGTAAAAGTCACTTTTAAAAGAAGGCCATTCAAAAGCATTACATTTGAAATTTATGCAATTAGCCTTCCAAACAGCAGTGAGAATTTCAAAGCCATTTCATTGTTCTCAAACCCTGTGAAATATACTTAGTTACAAATGAACCAGCATACACTAATTACAACCCTCTCTTTAAAGAAGATTATAGTGAGTGTCACTGAAGGGCACGCTTAAGGACAATTTCCAATCTCAGACAAGTATCAAGAGGCCCTGTAGGGGGAGGGAGATGGGGGGGGGGTATCCATTGTTTGGAACCATTGCTTGGATTTGTTGCAGCCTGACTGTGTGGAGCTTAAACTATAAGAGTGGAAGGATGATGACTCAATCTTTCAAACAGGAACCAAACTGAGCTGCTCTTTCAAAGGCTTTTAGCAAAATGAGCCTTTCAGAACACCTTTCTTATAGTGAAATGTCCCAAATATCACTATAAGAAAGGTGTTCTGCCAGAGATGGAGACAGAGATGAAGGCATGGAAAAATAGAGCAGCTAAGAACTCTAGACTCATGGAAAGAAATAGGCTGTGTGCAGGCAGTCAGGAGGCATGCTCACAGAATGTGCCCTTTGGCTGTTTAAATGATTATATATATTCCTGAGTGTTTTTGTGTATATCCCCATCCACCCCCAAAAAAACAGAAGGAATATAAGTAAATACTGTTGAGTGATGATGCACAGAGGAAATTGTAATCACTGCAATGAAACGATGGTGTAAAA